CCGGCTTCCCCGCGCCCGCACCCTGCGCGCCCGCCGGACACGCGCTCTTCCAAGACGTGAGTGGGGAGCGGGCAGGGGCGCCGGCTCTCTGGCTCCAAGGGGTTGTCTGTCGCGATGTCTCTCCAGGTCTGCCTTAGCTTCCTGTGTCATGCACGGCTCCTGTCACTGTTTCACTGCCTCTCCTCTATCCCCTCAACACCCCCCGCCCCCACCTCCCTCTCTCAGTGTTTCCCCCATCTATGTCTGTTAACAAACACCTCTGTTTGGGCCTTGCCTTGTGTGTCCGGATGTCTCTCATTACCTGCCTGTGTGTCTGTCTCACCACCTCTCTGAACATACCGTCTGCTTCCCTGTGTCTCCCTTATCTTTATCTCTCTGTCTTTGTGTCCCTTTTCCTAGCTCTCACTTTTTCTCTCCTGCCTCTGGTTCTGTGTCACTATTCCTCCTGCCCCCCAGATCCAAATCCACCCCATCTAAGTGTCTGGTGGGGTGGAGGAGCAGGTCGCCGGACCCTCTGGCAGCCCCAGGCTGCCTGACCTAGGCAGGAAAGCCTACAAGCATAAGCAGCCCCCTGACTCTGACCCACTGCTTAGCCCAGAGGCCGGGACCTGACCTGGAGGCCGTGAGCTCCTGAGTTGGTCAGGGCTGCTAGCAGTTATTCTCTGTGGTCAGGGCACCTCTCCCATGGTCAGCAGGCAGCCCTGCAGCCTCCATGGGCACTAGTGTGGAGCAGAATGGCTGGGTCTCGGTCACTGCCCTATGCTCCTTCCCTACCGTCTACCCCAGTGCTCAGCCCCCTCCTGGCCCTTTCCTGCCCCCACCCCAGTAGGTCCCTGCTGGGACCTGCTGGGAAATATGGCAAAGGCCATATTTCTACCCCCTCCCCAATGCCCAGTGACTCAGCACCTTGACCACAGCCCTCCTGGCTGGAAGGGACCTGACCCTTCTGCTCCCTAACATCTAAAGCATTAGGGATCTCTCAAGATCACAAGGGCGAGGGGAGATGGGGAGGCCAGTTAGGATGTGGCCCCAGGTGTCCTCATTCCCAGTATAGCATCCTCCCCTAGCCCTGGGGCCAGACAGCTGTGTGGCCCTGAGACAGAGAGGCATTCTTCTTTGAGGCAGACTTCTAACTGATCCTGAGAAAATACCCAACAAGCAGTGGCGTTCAGGACATGGATGATGCTCTGTGTCCAGAAGTTGGCCTGTCTGCTTGCCAGGCCTGCCGGTCCCCATTTGCTGGGTGTAGCCTGTGAGTCTTAGGTCCCTGGTAGAGGCGGGGGCCTTGTCTTTGAGTCTTCTCTCCTCTGCCTCTTTGCCCTTCTGTCTGCTTCGCCATAATCTGTCTGCTCTGTCTGTTTACCCTTGCTTTCTGCAGCTCCCCCCCCCCACACTCACACACACACACACACACACAAACACAACACACACAGGCGGCCCTGCCTAAGGTCTTACACTGAGTCCATCTTATGAGAAGGCTCAGCCCTGGTAGGGTTAACCCCCATGTACTAGTGGGAAAACTGAGGCTCCAGCAAAGAAAAGACTAGCTACTGTCTGCACAGCAGGAGCTTCAAGAACACAATAGGGAAACAGTGCAGAGCCGGGGGTTCAAGTCTGGGATGGGCACCCTGGGTCCTCAGGCTGCATCTTGGCCCTTCTCCCCACCTTACTCATACCGGGCCTGTGCCAAGGCCTGATGCATCCTCAGACAATTCAGGAGGGGCCTGGGTAAGGGAGATGGGGGTGCAGGGAACTGATCTGGAGTGCCCCCCACAAGGCCAGGCCCCACAGGAGAAGTGAGCAAGCACCGGGACCTGCTGTGTGTTCTTCCTGTGTTCCCTTACTGGAAAAACTCCTGCAGAGCTTCGCTTCGCAGGGGGTTGGGACCAGACTGGGCAGGAGGAAAGGCAAGGCAGGAGGCAGGCCAGCCAGCTGGGGCTTTATTGAGATGGGTGGGGCCTCTTACCTTGGGGTCCCACTGACAGCTTCTCTCCATGCCCCTTTGTCCTTTAGGTTTTCCGTAGAGCAGACAAGAATGGTGAGTGTGGCTTCTCCTAAGTCCTACAGTGTGGAGTGGGTGGGGTTACAGTGGGGGATACTTAGGGGAGGGTTGGGGGCTTAGGCAGACATTCTAGAACAAGAGAGATCTTGGGGAGCCCTGAATCAGGAGAGCCAATCAAGGCATCCTTTCAGGAGGAGGTGTTTTGAGCCAAGTTTGGCAGGATGGAAGTAGAGGAACTCTACTCTGGTGGTTTCGCCAGAGACTTTCCTTGGTGCCCTGGCAAAGTGATGGGTACTTTCCTATGGGATCTTGTGGTGTCCTCACCACCCCAGCCCTGGGAACTCTTCATCCTGCTTCACAAAAGAGCAGCGCCCCCCGGGAAGTGAAGCAGGCTGCCCAGGGAAAGCTGAGGCAGGATAAAGCTGAGTTTGGCATTCCGGGGCTCCCGCTGAGGGTGGTAGGCAGTCTTAGGTGTGGGTCTGGGAAAACTTTAAAAGCCAAAGCAGGAGCCCTAGGGGGCCCCCACCCCCAAGCAGGGTGCTGCCATAAATGACTCAGAGTGTGGCGATCACCAGTTGGGAGTGAGCGGGGGGCCGTCAGCCTTGGCCGCCCTTCCATCGGGCCTCCAGCTCCATGTTGCCCTCTCCTTGAGACAGGTCTGTGTCCTCTCCCCTTTTCCCTTTGTTTTCTTCAAATTGGTGGAAACCGTTTGTCCCTTCCTCCACGTGGTTTGAGCAGAATACATGGTCTCGTTTGGATCACAGCATTCCGTCGGGGGCGGGGGGGGTTTCAGACCTCCAGCTCTGCTGCCCCCCATCTGCTTCGAGACCTCACTGGCCAAATCCCGTCTTTGCTGCCCCACTCAAGGGCTCCCAGCTTCCGCAACATGCCCCGCCACATGCCGCTCTCATGGGAGGTCACTCCTTCCGGAGCCAGCCTGCAGCTTCTTAAATGCCTTCAACTCTCAGGAAGATCTCATCTTCCTCTCTGGATTCGCTGTGAAGAGCCAGGTCCAGAGCATGGAAGTTCCCTGCTCTCTGGAGCCAGGATGGCCAGCATGTGCGGTGAACACTCAGGCCCCAAGGCCTCCAAGTGGCGTCTAAGTCCTGCCATGGACAGTTCATTGGTTTTTTCATTTGGCAAACACCAAGTCCTTACCCAGCGCTCCATGCACACGGCTTTGTCCCTTGGGTGCCTGAAAAGTAGGCCAGTTACCTTAAGGGGGTATCCCTGAGGGGCTGAGCGCACACTGTGGTCCTCCCACCAAGTCACAGTCCTGTTCCACTTGGCTGGTGGGTTGTGGATCCTGCAAAGCCTTCGGGGGACTTGGGCTTGGTGGCGAAGGTGTAGCCAGGGCCCAGGAGACTGACTTTGCTCCCTTACCCCCGCCCAGATGACGGTAAGCTCTCATTTGAGGAATTCCAGAATTACTTTGCTGATGGGGTTCTCAGCCCAGGGGAGCTGCAGGAGCTGTTCAGTGGCATTGATGGGCATTCCACCGAGTGAGTATGGGGGGGGGGGTGGATGAGCTGTGGGTCCATGTGAGGCCAGGTTATCCCAACCCCACTGTGTCTCCTGCTGCCTTGGCTCCTGTGGAGGAGGGTGGCAGGGAGAGGGAGCCAGGCTCAGTGCCAACTTTAGCCGCCCACCCTCCCCCTTTCTGGCTTGCCTTGCCCATCACACTTCTTCCAGCTGGGACCCCAAAATAGCAGGGCCTGAGTCACCACCCGTGGTTCGGCCCACAGGTCTCCCCCACCCCCATTCCTGTCTTCTGCAGGGGCCAGAGGATGCCTGGGGACAGCTGGGCTCCGCCTGCTTCCACCATGGTTGTGGGTACAGGAATACACACCTCACCACGTGCACTTCCACAGCCGCGAGTTTGCGCACTTTGTTCCACATGCTTCCCTCCGTGGGTACACAGGCATCCACGGCAGCCCCGCCCTCCCGCTCCCTCCCCCTAGATCCTTGGAATAAATCCCAGCCTCTGGGCAGACATTCAGAGGTGTCCAGGCCCTCCCTGTCCAAACGCTTTGTCTGCATGCAGTCATTTACCACTCTGACCTGACACCCCGGGTTCCTCACCCTTCAAGGCACAACTTCGGCAGCCCCTTCCCCAGGAAACCCTCTCTCACACCAAGTAATGACACTCCATTCCTTCTTTGGACTTCCCAGACCTGCTTTCCCTCCCCACTTCTGGCCCCTCCTCTCTGGCCTCTGTCCACATTTGTCTCCCTGGGCCTGAAGCCCCCTTGGAGGTGAGAGTGGGTGTTTGATGGGGCAGTGGTACCCTTGCTCCCTACCTCTGCCTTCTGAGCAACTTGACCTGGGGTGGAGGCAGAAGTCTCCTTGTCTGGTTGAGGGGGAGGAAGGGAACCTCAGAGCACCAGGCCCAAGTCCAACGGTCTGAATGGCTCCTTTCTCTCCATAGCAATTTGGAAACGGAGAAACTGTGTGGTGAGTAGGCCCAGGGGAGCGCTTACCTCCAGGACCTGTGGGCAGGTGGGGGTGTGAGGGGCTGTGACTGGTCTCCCGTTGGAACAGGCGGAGGCGGGCTCAGAAATTGAGACCTGGTTGACTGCTGAGGAATTCCAGGTTGGGTAGATGGGTGGGGGGCCTTGAGCAACCCTTGAGGCCCCCTCTGCTGCAGACTACTTCTCAGAACACCTGGGAGTCTACCGGCCCGTGCTGGCTGCCCTGGAGTCGCTGAACCGTGCTGTGCTTACAGCCATGGATGCCACCAAGCTGGTGAGTGGGGGGCTGATGGCGGCGGGCCAGAGCGAAGGGCAGGGGTGGCCGCTGTGCTGTGGCCTCCACCATCTGGCTCAGGGCTCTGGCATTAGATACCTGGGCTCAAACCTGGACTTTCCCACTTTCCGGCTGCCTCTTTGAGCCTTACTTTCCTACACTGTAAACTGGAGGTAATAGTAGAGCCTGTCTCCTTACATTTGTTGTGACAGTCAAATGAGAACGAAGGCGGGGATTTTTGTCTGTCTTGTTCTCTATTCTCAGCATCTAGAACTGTGCCTGGCACCTAGTAGATGCCTGATACCTGGAGCTGATCATGCCACTGTTTTTGTTATTGGCCAGACCTGTTGTGAGCTATCAAAGTCCAGAACCCAGCAGCCATGGCCTGGAGTGGGTTGTGCTCACACATCCACAGTCCTGTGCTTGCGTGCTGGTGTGTGGAGCCTGTTGGGGCAGGACCTGGCCTGAGGGCATGTGTGAGCAGGGGGGCATGCGTGCACTCTTGTGTCTGTGAGCAGGTGTGGAGGGCACATGTACACGCATAAACAGGGCCCAAGTGATTGGGTGGTAGGCTCAAAGAGAGCACAAGCTCTCCTTCCCTGTGTGCTCCTGCTCAGAGCCGTCTCCTCTCTTTGTCCCCAACTTTTAATAAGGGGGCAGGGGAGTGGCACTGATTGTGCCTGACCCACTTTTTACATAAGGGGAGAAATTGAAGTCCTCATCAAGTTAATGGTCAACTGAGCAGATGGGGACAAGGGAGTTCCCTTCTGGTTGTTTTCATGTGGGATTTAGTACTGTTCGGAGGGTCCGCCCCTGGGGTTTGGCATGGGGTGGATATCCAAACAGCACACGAGGAGGGCATGGCGTGCTGTGAGGACTGCTGTACCTATAATCTGGACACAAGTGGGGAATCACTTTCCTTGTTGCCATGAAAACAGGACCCTAGGGGTGGACAGCTGGACTGTCGTTCTCTCCACAGGCACTGGTTGAGGGGGGTTTCCAAACTCCTCAGGGCAAATTCAGGGTCCCTGGGAATCTCCCCTTTACCCCTCCCTCCAGTGCCCCTGGCTGAGAAAAGGGCTGGGGGGACCCATCACCACATGATGCTGCCAGTTCCAGTCACCTGAGACTTTTATCTGGCACTTGATGCCTCTCATAGTTGCAGCTCGGTCCACTGGACCTCTGCTTCTGGCCACCTGTGGCACCAGCCCCTCCAGTCCAGCAGGACTCAGTTGAACACTTCATGCACCACCCTGGAGCCACACTCCTGGTACATGGCCCGGGTCATCCAGTGGCACTGAAAGGAGCTCAAGGAGGCCATCATGGAGCCGCCTGTCCACACTGCTGTGCCACGCCCAGGTGTGGCCACCAGGCGTGGCCGTAGCGCCCCATAGCCATGCCTCCGGCACTGGGCCTCAAGCTCTATCTCCAGGCGCTCGGTGAAGCCAGGGAAAAGCGTGGAGCCGCCGGCCAGCACGACTGTGTCGGCCAGGCGTCTCCGCAGTGTTGCGGGCACTCTCTGCAGTGCTTGGAAGGCCAGTGTGGGCAGCCCCGGCTCAGGCTGGCCTAGCAGGCAGGGCTGGAAGATGGGTTCTGGACAGCGGAAGCGCTCGCTACGGAGGCAGAGGGAACACCCATCGTCTAAGCAGAAACTGGCGGGATGGTGGCGGGCGGGGTTCCGCAGGTCTCCCTCAAAGTCCAGTGACACATAACAGATGCGCTTCTTGAGCTGTGTGATGGCTTTGCGGGGCAGGGTCTGCGGCTGCAGGTTGGGGCACGCTGCCGCCAGCAGGTCCCTCAGGTAACGCGACAGGGCGCTGCCTGCCACGTTCAGCCGGTAGGTGGCCTGGCGCCACGAGTGGCCTGCATAAATGGGCGTGGCGTGGCACACGCCGGCGCCCGCCTCTACCGCCAGCCCACTGCAGGCGCCGGTGGAGCAGAGCGCCAGCAAGGCGGTGCTGGCCATGTGGCACGCTGGCACTGCCAGCGCCTCGAACAGCAGCTCGGCTGTCCTCTCGCGGCCCGCGGGCGGCGCCGACGGCGAGTGGCTCACCAGCACAGGGCACTGCTCTGGGCACACCCGCAGGCCCCCCACCAGCAGGCGCTCCCACAGGCCCTCCAGCGCCTCCCAGTCCACCACCACGCCGTGCTTGATGGGGTGCGCCCGCGCCACGCCGCGGGCTAGCTCGCAGCCTGGCGTGCCGGGCAGCACCGGCCGGTCCCCGCTGGGCACCAGGCTGGAACTCTTCAGCACCAGGCGCGGCTGGTGCTCGCCAGCGAAGCCCGCTTTGGTGAAGCCGGAACCCTGGTCCACCACCACCGCGATGTGACCCGTTAAGGGCGGCGGCACCATGCGGCGGCTCCCCACGGCCGACGCCACTTTCCGGGCCGGGCGCCGCCTTCTGGCCAAAGGCTCACCGGACCAGAGGCCGGGCCTCTGCTGTCCGCACCCGGGGACGGCGTTCTGGGCAGTCGCCGGTCCCGACCAGTCTTTTTTCAGTTTCTGACTCCGCCCCAGGTGTGAGGCCCCGCCGCTCCTCCGAAGGCAGGTGGGCTCACCTGGGCCCCTCCGCAGGCCAACTCGCGTCCAGGCTTCCAGCACCCCCACCGCCCCTTCCTGAGGACTCGCCTCTGGGTGCGCTCCACTCCTCAGCCTTGTATCGGTGGGTGGTCAGCGGCGGGCTGAATTCTTTCGGATACCGGGAGGCAACTGGAGCGCAGCTCTCTGGGGATGAAGAGACCCCGTGGCAGTGTCATCTGCGGAGGTGGGAGGGGTGGTCGGAGAAAGAAAGGAGAGAACTTGGGCTCATTGTGACCTCAGGCCTAAGAACCTGCTATGCTTCCGCAGCCCTCTCCGCGGAGGTTGCCCCGGACCCGTGCTGTCGGCCAAAGCTGAGAATGGGCACCCGGGGCACCCAGCACAACCAATCTGACTTCTTCCCCAGATCACCCGGGACTATCTGACATACTCTGGTCAGCTGTGCGACCCCTCCCCTCTCTGGTGGAGAGAAAGCTGCATCCGGAGGACCTGTGACTGCGCGGCCCAGGGCTCCCAAGCAGCTGTATCCGGGCCTTACAGGGCTCCGTGTGGTCGAGGGGGCCTGAGTTTGTGACAGTCACCAAGCTGGCGCACAGTGCGCCCCCATGCAAGTCCAAATCTCCCCGAGCTCGGCTTCTTCCTCCACCAAGTAGTAATAAGCCTCAACTCAGGGAAACGGCCGCTTCTTGTCTCTGCAGAGTCTCATTCTGTTGCAGGAGGAAGATCCAGTGAGCTCTAAGTCCAAGAAGGGGTTTTATTACCAGGTGGAGAGAACGTTGATGGTGTGGACACTGAGAAAGTCCATCTTCATTCAGCCTTAATTGTAGTCACTTCTGCTGAATCTGCCCCCTCAGGGCACATTTCGGGCCGGTCACCAGTGGAAGGCGGGCTGCAGGTCTGGAGAGTTGGGGTAGTACCAGTTGGGCCTCGGGAGAGTGAAAGCAGCAACAGGGGTCTGTCCACAGAAAATGTGCGGGGCTCTCAAGGTGATGGGGAGTGAGCTTCAGCTGGAGACCACTAGTGGCAGTATGGTCCCCGCAGGAGTGAAGGGGGAGAGCCCTAGCGAGGAAGGCAGGAAGGGCCTGCACACCCCTAACTGGTTTTCTCGCTCCCCTCGGAGCAACGGAGAACCAGTGTGTGCTTCTGGGCACACAGGTGAGACAGGTGAGTGGTTTGGAAGAAACCTTTGACTGCAACGTGGAGAAAGGGATGGGACAGGGTAGGCTGGAGGTGAGTGACTGAGTATCTTGGGGGTTACCAAGAGTGGGGTAGGAGTGAGGGGTCAGAGGTCCAGGGGCCCCTGCCTCTTCCGGGGTGGCTCTCACAGGCAGAATGAGTCAGAGGCCCACCCTGCTGATCCTTCTGGGTGTTTGTCAGGGGCACCCTCCCCCACTCTGAGAACGATTTGTGAATCCTGGCGACTCTTGGAAATGCCAGATGCTTCTGGAAGCAGGCCCTTCCTAGAGTGGCTGGGCCTGGATTCGCCCAAACTCACCTCCCCTAGGAGGTGGGGGTGCGCCCTCTCCCCAGCTTTGGGCAGGGTTTCAGACTTTTAGGTAACGGGGAGGAAGGGGGAAAACAGCGTTGGCTTCAGGCAGCCTTCAGTAGTTGAGTTTATTCCAGTCTTGTGCGGGGTATCGGCTTCCCCCGACTCACCCCCGCCGATGGCAGATGGCTCAGCCTGCCAGCAGGTGCCAGGGTTGCTGTGCACTCTATCGGGCCGGCCTCAGAACCGGGGGCTGGGTGGGGAGCTCAGTGCTTTGCGCGAGGGGGGCGGCGCCTTTTGCGCGGCTGCTCCCCGGGGTCAGCGGACCCCAGGTTCAGCAGGCGCGCGTAGAGCCGCTGCCAGCCGCGCACGCCCTTGGCTGCGCCCCCCGCGGGGCGCTCCTCCTCGGGCGCGTCCAGCAGCAGCAGCAGGACCAGGATCTTCCTCATCTCGCGCGCGCGCGCGCTGTCGCGCCGTCCCGAGCCGTCGCCGGCTCCCCGCAGCATGGGCGCCACCGCCTGGGAGCACTCCGGGGTGGGGGTGTCCGCCTCATCTTCTCCCCTCCCTTCGGGCTGCTGAGCGCCGGAGCCCGCCGACACCTCGGCTTTCCCCCGGGGGAAAAGCAGCACTACCTTGGCCTGAGAGTGGGAAGCGGATTGTGGGGGGCGTGTGAGAGCACGAGCGTGCCCCACCTACCTCTCGGGGTCCCCCAGCCACCCCTTTTCTGTCCCAGTAATGCCCTCTTTTTCAGCCGTGCCACCTTGACCTGTGGTTCGGGACCCCTGTCCCTCCTCTGGAAACCCGCACCCACCCAAGCTGACCTCCTGGAACCTCAGTCTGTTCACATTTCAGGCATCTCTGTCAGCCTTCCATCCTTGACCCTGGGGCCGTCACCACCCCTCGGGGTCCCCCGCCAATCATGGTCTGGGACCCCTGCCCAGGGCGTGGAAAGGGGGAATAAGGCCAGTGGCACCAATTAGGGCCAATGCCCCATCTGTCCCACCCTCCTGCGTTCTCATTTCACTCATCTCTGTTTCTGGGTGGATTCCTGGAGATGGAGAGGCCAAACCATGCTGTCACATGGGGCACCCCTGGGCAGGGCAGAGGCAGAGGGGTCCCCTGGGAGAGGAGGCCTTTACCCCCTTCATCCTCCTAAGGCGTATTCCCAAAACCCCTGGACTCAGGGTCTCCTGCTTGGGTCACCCTGACCCCCACCTTCCTTTGGGCCCCCGCACTCACTCTGGGCTGCTTCTGCTTGAGGTTGCTGAAAAACTGCATTTTGGGTTGGGCCTTGTCCATGTTGGGCAGCCTCTCTTTGAGGGGCTGCTTGGGCAGTCTGGTCTTCTTGTGGGAGCTATTGTTTCCCATGGTAGGGGTGGTCACCATTAGGGGCCACAAGCCATGCTGTCTCTCTGCCCAGCCATCTGGCCCCAGGGGTCCCTCTGCCTTTGCCCTCTTGGGGAAGCCACATTGTGACCTCATGGTTTGACCTCACCCCCTCCAAGCTCTGAGCTCCCCACAGGCAAATCTGTGACTTCAGGCTTTTGTTTCTCAGCTGTCACTCTGAGTAAGGATCAGAAATCAGGCATCGCTTATAAGGAACTTAGTGGTGAGAGCAAGGAACTTCTATGGCCTTGTTTGAATCCTGGCTCTAACATCAGCAAAATGGGGTCAATTATGGGTCCTGTAAGAGGTTCTGAAGATTAAATGAAATTTTGCTTGAGTCTGGCACAAGAGTGGCTGCTTGTGTCAGCTGGGTTCTTTGGTTGCAAGCAATAGAAACTATAATCAGTCACCCTAAGTAGTAAAATAAAATATACTGGAAGAACATTAGAGAACTCAGAACATGGCTGAGAAGTCTGAAGACTTAAGTCTTGAAACAGGACAGAAACTACTGGCTGTCTCCCAGTCTCCCCTCTGTCCTGGCCCCCAGGTCACAAGCTGGGCCCAGAGGGCCTCATGGTGTTGAGTTCAGGCAACCAAGTGCAGAAGACAAAGCCTCTGGGGGCCCTTGGAGAGGGGGGCAAGCACCCGATGACGTGTCTCCCTGGACTCCCACTGCAGGCTGTGAGCAGATGGCAGCAAGCCTGGAAAGCGCGTGCGGTTCTCATGAAATTTATTAGTGTGGCTTGTGCAGGTGGGCGGGGTTCCTGTCAGTACTGTGTTTGACAATAAAAATATTGAGAGTTCTTGTAGAGAACTTATGTGCCAGGCACTGGCCTGAGACTTGTAGAGGAATTAACTTTTTCCAGCCTCTCAATAGCCTGGGGTTGTTATCAACCCTCCATTTTGTAAATGAGGAAATTGAGGCACAAGTGGGAGAAGTTGGGAGTCTGAGAAGCCTAAGATGAGCAGCACAGGACTTGGGCAGCCTCTGGGTCTTAGGAGGGAAGAGGGAAGCTGGTAAATGGGCTGTGGTGGGTGCTGGGGTGTGTGTGTTAAGACAGAAAGCGAGGTGTCTGGTATCTGCTGCTCCTAGTAAAAGGTGCTCAGTGATGTTCATGGCATGGATGGATGGGTGGGTGGGTGGATGGATGGATGGGTGGGTGGGTGGATGGATGGGTGGGTGGGTAGATGAATGAATG